ATTGGCCTCACCAGATACTGAAGAAGAGTTGTTTTGAGCTTTTGCCTGTGGAGGTGTGCGAAGAAGACATCGGCTCACCGTCCTACGACACCGATGACTCCATGTTGAGCTCTCGTCCGTCCTGTGATGGACATCGTCGGAGCTAGAGGCCATCATTCACGAACAATGACCAAAAATACAAAACCAAGAAAGGTGGCCAGCTGAGATCCCACTTCATAGGATCGCTAAGTAAGGTGTATGAAAGAAGTAGGATCTCAGCCAGCCACCCAATTTGGTTTAGTGTTTTGTGGTGATTGTTCGTGAATAATGGCTCCTAGCTCCGACGATGTCCATCACAGGACGCACGAGAACTCAACATGGAGTCATCGGTGTCGCAGGACGGTGAGCCGATGTTTTTTTCCCACACTTCAACAGGCAAAAGTTCAAAACAACCATGGTAACAATGGCAGAGGGCACAGGACCAAGTGAATTCTTTAAAGTCGTCGGAAATTACGACTAATTTGCGAAAAGAAGGTCAAAATGATTGTAATTTTTCGGTTATAAGTAGGATTTTAACAATCCCAGAAGATCATATTTATGAAATATATTCAATTTATTTCGTTTCAGATGATGAAGTAATGATAGCTGAATTTTACCACAATAGCATGAGTAGGCCTTACGTTTCCATTGAATTTAACAAAGCCTTGTTCCCAAAAAGTTATTCTCATCAATTTTATTCCCTCGACGGATATTAATAGCCTTACTCGAGCTAACAACATTGGGCGCATCTTTAGAATACCGCCTTAGTGATCACATCTTTATGGCCTATCATGAAGCTAATTTAACCTCACTTTCGCGTACCCTTTACAAGACATGTTTGTCGGCGGAGACAAGGAGACAGTGGCGCTCACTTCTCATTTCCTTACCGAGATTGGCTCAATCGCGTTGAACTATCTTCGCCAGATGAGTGAACGCAATAACAAAGTGCTGGACTTTCACCACCCGCACCAAATGCGCGAGGTTTTGTCTCATTACCTGGAATTGCACGCAGAGGCCCGGGATTTAGAACAAATTCTGAGCGACTGCCGAGAAACCTTGAAGTATGGAGTCAAAACAGGTAATTTGGTGTTTAAATTGCCTCCATTCTTATTAAACATGATTGCACTTAAAGTTATTATAGCTATACAATTAGACACCAATCTGGCCTTTATTTGTGAACATTAATAATTTCCTCGCTCAAATATATGTTTTTAGGTCAGCTATATGGCACACAAGTGGTCTCATAAAATTTTTTTTAAAGGAACCCAAGTGCGCTATTCACTTTCTCGATGAAATCTAAGGCAAAAATGACAAAAAAAGTTAATGAGACTCTTTAGGGGACATACTAGTTGCTGCTGGGTTTCTCTTATGATCAAGGTACGCATTTCCAGAGACTTGCCAATGGATCTATATCGCTCGAATTATATAAGATAATTTAAACTATACTACTAAGAGTAGCTATATATTATAGTTATATTATTTATATAAATATTTGTAACAATTTGTGAGAAGCAAATAAAGGAACATTTAAATGCAACAAAAAGTTGAGATGTGGTTTAGCCTCGTCTTCGCAACTTGTTCTTATCTTCAGGGAGATTTAGATTAACGCATATTTTCCATGCTAATTTCCAGCGTCCGGACATGTTCTTGTTACATTTAAGGACGTTTCACCGGTATCGTATTCGGCAGCGTCAGTGAGCTTTACCATTTGTAGCTCAACCCTACAACCCAGCAAAGAGACAAGTGAAATCGACCTTCTGACAATCTATTCAGCAGTGGTCGGAATATCGCAGCAGTTAGTTAAATAATCGACTTTACTTGCCTCTATGATGGGTTGTAATGGGGTGCTAAGCATGGCAAAGGTCACTTGCGCTGCCTACTACGATGATGGTGAAACGTCTTGGAATGTACCAAATCCATAGTCAAACGCTGGAAAGTATCATGGATACTATGCAAGCGGACTGTTCAAGGCCTGCTCATCTAGGTCTCCCTGAAAATACGACAACTTTCGAAAATATGGTCAAACGACTTCTATGCGACGAACGGAGACAGCGACCATACCAAAGGCCACAGCATCTTGGTCTTCATAGCTTCGAGTAAAAAGTAGAATTGATGTGACACTGTAAAACCCTAAAATAAAGCAGGAAGTAAATGGTACATCAATTCTTGCACCAGGCCAACTTGACATTTGCCGATTGATGCACAGCCCCATAAGGCTATGATGGAAAGACAAGCCCCACTTATCAAGTGCCTTTTAGTTGTGCCTATCGTTTATATCTTATTGTAAATAATAAACCCGAGCCAAGAAATGACCATTACATACCTACCCCAGACCATATCCAAATACCGAATTAACTGACACAAGGCAATTCTAAGGCGGAAGCAAGTATTCTTTTTATTTCAACTGTCGGTATCTTAAAATACACCAGCCAATAGATGATGTTCGTAAATCTATCCAAGCCAGCATTAAACTCTAATTTAGAATTGTTGGGATTACTTCCATTTCGAGTAGACTCGTAAGCTTGAATTTTGTTGTGACGATGTTACCTCGCTCTGATGATGTCCGTCATATGACGGACGATAGCTGACGATGTTACCTCGCTCTGATGATGTCCGTCATATGACGGACGAAAGCTCAGCACGTGTTCACCGGAACGATGTTACCTCGCTCTGATGATGTCCGTCATATGACGCACGAAAGCTCAGCACGTGTTCACCGGAATCGAAGGAGATTACCTCAGAAACAGCGTCAGCATGAATCTTCCAGTAAAGCCAATCGACAGCTGGTCAAGAGGAATCCGCCGTCGCTCGGAAACAGGTGCTGAGCTTTCGTCCGTCATATGACGGACGAAAGCTTAGCACGTTTTCACCGGAATCGAAGGAGATTGCCTCGGAAACAGCGTCTATGAATCTTCCAATAAAGCCAATCGAAAGCTGGTCAAGAGGAATTCGCCGTCGTCTTCTGGTGGAACCGACCTACGAATCTTTTTACCCAACACTTCTACTCGAAATGGAAGAAATCCCAATAATTATGAAACAAGAGAGTCCTCGAAACCCAACTTTTCTTCGTATCTAATTTAGAAGTCCTTCTGTCATACTGTTTTGTCAAGGTAGGGTCACATTAGAGGTTATTGAATACTAATTTATTCAAACTTACAATCACCTTTAATGAATCTATTTTATTCATTTTATCTTTAAACAACAATAGGTAAATTACTTTTTTTTCAGGACCAACAGTAGATCTAAAATAGTAGTTGCATTTCGCCCATTTCGTTTCGTTCAACTTTGCTTCGTCGACAATTCCACCATAGAAATGTAATATGGGAAAGGCCTAGGCCTACTTGGAATTCGTTTCAGCCCTGTGATCCTGAGGAATTCGTGGCAGTGTGGCGTGGTGGAAAGAGTAATTGTTGCTCTTTCACGGTTCGAGTCCCCTTGGGAGTGCTGATGAATCCTAGGCAAGGTCGAAACTCCGGTCCACTCCAACCTGGATGAGAATACCTTTTGGGAAGTAAAGCTATGTGAAATTCAATGGG